TGTGTTATCTGCGGGGTGATGACTGATTATGACGCGGGGCGGATAAAGCCGCAAGAAAGCTCTCTCGCCGATGCCGCCTTATCTTTGCACGATAGCCAGCTGTTTGTGACAGTATATTGTTGACACAAGGTGTAGGCGCCTTGACCCTGAAGGTATGGTTAGGGCATTAAGGTTTTCCAGTAAGTCCCCCTTTTCTTCCTCTTAGTACTTTTTATTCCTTAGGTCATCCTGGTTGTGTGGCAGCGAAGCATCAGTTCAAATGGTTAATGGGCTGCTGTTGTTCTTATTGATACAGTAGTAGCTAGTGAATCACTCAGCCCCTTTGTGTCATGCATCAGGCCCCGATGGTGGGCCACGTATTGCGCATGCCAGAACACCGACTCTCGCGACGTGCTTTTTTGCGCGACTGGCATGTGGATAGAAGAAGAGGAGAGGACAAGCAATAACTTGGTCAAAAGTAGTGAAGTCCATCACTTCGAACTTTTCGTCGATTGATGTTTCCCGACTGCCGGGTTGGGGTCCTAAGGACGATGAACACGTTTGATTGGATACACTAGCTGACATGGCGAAGGGCTGATCTCAGTAGCATATGAGTTGTAAGTCTCTTTTGTCCCTCCCGTCCTCTTTAGCCTCCATATCCAATCACCATCTCATGTCCAATGCATTGACATTTGGCGTTTTGTAACTTTTTTTGTAGCTTTTGTAGTCTGTAATTTTTAATCCAGTATGTTTTTGTTTTGCAGCACATTAGCTGAGGTATGTTTCCCACTGTCGGCTATCGCGTATTGATGATGACGATGATGACCTCCATCCAGGTCCCGGTCGCGCAAACTGCACACTTCGCGGGAGTCAGTGTTCTGGCATGCGCAATTCGTGGCCAAGGTATCGGAGACTGATGCGTAATATAACTGCTAGGCGGTTTACTTGGTGTTCCTGCACCAAATACAAGATGTTGAACATGCTCATTGCTCACCACGATGTTCCCGCCAGACATGAGCTAAACTGCGAATGCCGCGATGCTCGAACTTAGATTACTTCTTTATGTCTTTCGATCTAATGGGCCAGGTTTCGCAACCGTAAAGGGGTTTGAACGGACGGATGCATAGCGAGAGAGTTGTCGCACTGATGTCACAAAGGAGGAAGATAAACGAAAGCTCCTCGAGCTCTTGCCATACGGTTCGTTTTTTTCATTTGCGATCACACATGCGCTAATATAGCTGGCCATGTAGTTGAATATTTGGACGCTTCTAGCTGATAAGCACTATGGGTCAACTCAGATGCCGGTTTGTGCTGATCTTTGAGGACTTTATATTTCGAGGGAGCGAAGCACAGCCCGAAACGATTGACATCCAGTACTAATATTTCCAACGCTGCTTGGCACGTTTGTGAGCTGTCACAGATTAGAGCAGTGTCTTCGGCGTACTCCAAGTCAAGAAGTCGATCGCTTGGGTGGTGTGTCACACCTTGTAGGTCATGTCTGGCTAATTCAGTTTTCATGATTTCGTCAAAAGCGAAGTTAGAAAGGGAAAGTAACATCGGACAACCTTGTCTCACACAGCTTGCCATTATCCCTCACTCTGCCCGAACTACACACGTATAGCGCTTTTATGGCTTACGTATTTTGTTGTACTCATGGAAATCATGACGGCCAGATGCTGTTCCCTTTGGCCCTGTGGCATAAGCTGCTGACTGGTGGCGCAAGCCGCTATTTTTCATGGCTTCGAAGTCTGATGGGTCCGATGGATGTGCACTACTGATAATGCCTGACAGGTTGAAACTAGTCTTTTAGTACTTTTCCGTGCATGTGGAGAACTATAGGATTTTGAAGCTGCTGCGACGAACTCTTAATTACTTATGTATTTATCGGGCACACCTTTCTTGAGCAGAGTCCCAAATGGCACATCTATCCACCAAATCAAAGGCACCTTTGATGTCGAGCAACACGATTACGGTGGGTCGCAACTAAACACGCTAGTGTCCCAACAAGTGATACCATGTGAGAATGTGGTCAATACACCGGATTTGACGAAGTCCAGCTTTTTCTTCACCAATCCCATGCTTTCCGGGTCTTAGGAAGGAAATCTATAGACAAGTATAACAGGCGCCAATCGCCTATACGGAGTCAAAGCTTCGCCGGGTATTCCTCACTCTCCTGCATGGATTGCATAAACATATAACCAACAGGATGAGCTGGACAATTAGCGATGCGCAGAATCCGTCGCATACACTGTTGATGGAACCTCTCGAAATATCGCACATCCCGCCGGTACATCGTCCACGTTTCACTGCCTTATGAAAGAACAGACAGCACCATGGATTTGTACACCATCAGCTTCGTATCAATGGTAAGCGATGGTTGTTCCACACTCGGTGCTCTAGCTTCCCCAGTGCCACCGCTGCCTTCAAGACGCGGATACGCAGCTCGCTGTATAGCTGCTGATCAGTCGATATCACACTCCCAAGGTAGCAGAAGCGGGAGGTGGTTTACAAGACCTCAGCACCAATGCTGATTTGGGGCAATATTGAAGATTGCACCTCCGGTGAAGGCTGAAAGAGGCAGACAATTTTGCTTGTGTTGATGGTGAGGCCGAATTTGGCCGTTGTCAAAACCAGAGCATTAGTCATGTGCTGCAACTCATCCGCGCTGTGTGAAAACAACGCACAGTCGTCAGCAAACAGCAACATACGGATAGTTGTCTCACAGACTGGAGTTCTCGCACCGAAATGACGGATGTTCAGCAACCCACGATCAATACGCTGCTTTACACGAACACCGTAAGCACAAGCGGCATAAAAAGCACAAGACACCATTGCATGAAGATAGATATTAAACAGAGCAGGAGCTACGACACAGCCTTGCTTCACACAAGAGACAGCTGCAAAGTCATCCGAGGTCTCTCCACTCAGCTGCACCCTCGCTCGCATACCACTGTGCAGACATTCAATTAAACTTACAAACTTACGCTGGCAACCAAACTTACCCAACACCAGCCACAATGCCTTGCGGTTCACCGTATCAAATGCCTTGGTGAAACCAACAAAAAGCAGGTACAATGGCTGGTGTCGTTCTCTGCATTTCTTCTGCAACTGACGAGCCGCAAACAGTATATCTATAGTGCAGCGACCCGCACGGAATCCACACTGCTCTTCCACCACGTTAGGTCCCACAACCTGAATGACGAGGCGGGTGAGCAGGATTCGGGCAATCACCTTGCCCACACAACTCAACAAGTTGATACCACGATAATCCGTGGCACAATGCTTGCTCCCTTTGCCCTCGTACAGTGGTAGCACAAGGGCATCCTTCAGCTCAGCGGGCACCTCCTCAATCTACGTGCGTTGCACCAACTGGTGCAGCGCTATCGCCAACGCGAGTCCACTGCGTTTCAACACTTCAGGCGGGATCCCGTCGGCCCCAGCAAACTTGCCGTTTCGCAGCTGAGCAAGTGCTCTCTGCGTCTCATCCAGTGTCGGTGTGTCCGCTAGACTCATCTTGAGGTTGTTCAATGTAGGTCAGTCGATCTCTGATCGATTGTTGAAGAGACAGTCCAAGTCTTTTTGCCGAATCTGCATAACGTTTGCAGTCTGTGTGCAGATAGCGCCCGAACTACCATCGATCAGTGTCCTCAGCGGCTCCGACCTCGGTCCATACACCGCCTTCAAGGAGTCAAAGAATTCCCTGTATTGGCGGTGTTCGGCGTAGCATTCCATCTGCTTCGCCTTCTCCGTCCACCGTGCATTTTTAATGCGACGGAGCTCTCTGGTCAGTCGCCGACGAAGTTTGCGAAACTGACTACTCTTTCCCAAGTCACTGGGGTCTGCAACATGTGCAGCAAATGCTGCATTCTTCTCCGACACCAATGCGCCAATCGTTGCATTGTTCTTATTTAACCTGTCAAGCCGCTTACGGTTTGCGATTCCGAGAGTCCCCTCGGCAGCAGCTGTCACCTGGTCGCGAATGTCGTGCCATAGGTCTCCCACTGTGAATATGCATTCCACATCACACAGTCGTGCAGCCATCGCCTTCTCCAGCTCAGTACGTTTCTCCACAGTATGGAGCGAGTGAATGTTAAATTTCCGTTTATATAGCTCATTTAGTGAACATTTTTGTCTGCATATCCGTATCGTTTAATTTTTATATTTTGTTTGATATTGTCATTTTAAGTGATTAGCTGTTGCTTGACATCCCCGGTGTGGCTGCGCTTGATTCGCATGTTGACAAGGTGCCTACCTGTCTATTTCACACTGTCTCCTCCATACTGTCTCTAGGAGGCAGTTGCTCGTTACTGGAAGGGACGGGTTGCACGGTCGTTGTGGCCATGCTAGGCTCGATGAGTGGTTCCATGCCCTCAGTGTGGAGCGGACTACGGTCCAGCCACCGTCTTATGTGCACTTGATTCCCCAAATACGGCGTGCTTGTGCTTGCCTGTGAAGGAGTGTGAGCCGGCTCCGTTGATGAAACGTGCCTCCCATTCGCATGTCTCCCGATCTTATTCCTTCGGATTTACACTGGATATGGGGTGTGGGTGGTTCAGCGCAAGCCACCCATTGTCCCTTTGTAGGTATAATCGTCCTGTGGCTGGCCCCAGTGACAGCATATCCGAAGCCGGATGAGGCCAACCGTCTTTTTCTTTTCTCATAATTGGTGATACGGCTACGTATCGACCTTTTCCTGAATCCTATCCTAAGGTAAACACCAGTTGCCTTAATCTCAATTATTCTATTTAGTTGCACGGTTATTCCTTTCTTCATGCTAACTGAGTCGAAATTGTTGTTTTATCGATGCCTTTCTGCTCAAATATCTGGTTCATTATTTGTTTTGTGTACCGTCGTCTTGTGTATGTTCTTCCTACCCATTTGTGGATCATTTGTTTTAGCACTCTTTTCGAATATCGTGAGATGTTTCTGTTCAGTACATTTACCTGACCGCTGTGTGGTACCTAGTTTCCAACTGAGTTGCTTATCATTTGTGTCATCGAATATTTCTGCTTTCGTTGTAGTTTGGGCAAGTGTTGGTTGGGGCGCGTTTTGGTTTACGGGCCACTACGATTCCATGCTTGATTACATTCGCAACTTGCAGTTGGGACCAGCCGTCATTGCCGGTTGCAAGTTCGTGTTGTGTTATCCACTAGTTTATCACTATATGAACGGTATGCGACACTTGGTGAGTGAATCCCATTTATTGTGTTCTGTGGCTTATCTCATGTGGCAGCTGCTCCATTCTTTCTCGCTGGTATTGTTTGTCACCTTTTTGTCGTTATTAAATCGATTTCATACGTTTTCTTTTGGTGAATACAGATGATAGTAAACCACTTAGTGAACACACGTATTTCTCTAACCATGCGTCTTTATTTCGAACTTCGGAAGTTAGCATGTGTTCGAAGAATTCATTGGTAACCCACAATTCCATAAAAGCAACAAAAGCGGCTGTTTGTTTCAGGGCTTTCCATCATCTTCTTGTCACATTCTAGAATTTACGGTATCATAACCATCTTTTGTGAGTCTTTGGGACACTTTCGTTCATCTTTTAGCTTCGCTTCCCTTTCGTTAAATTTCTTTCAGTAGATCAGCCAAGATCTGCAGCGAATGTAGTTTCTAATACACATCATCCTAATAATAGTTGTTTTCATGGGAGAAGAGTGAGTAAAGCATTCTTCAGCTGAGGTAGCTACGAACCAGACGTTAAGGGAACGAATGCAAGAGTATTTTTTGGAAAGGTAGTGGTGGTGGGCGAACCTGCCCTCTAATCGGCCAATTCATCCAAGACTTAGGCGCGCGCTCTCACTCTGTGATTTGAAGTCCGTGGACAACACAATAAGGCTATACCGTAACGATTGTGCACACTTTGGGCACTCAAACGCAATTTCTGCACTTGATCCCAAGAGGTCACCACTCACCTCTTCCATCATGAGACTGCTGTCCCAGAGTACAGCTCGCCTATTGGTTGTTCGATTACCCTGGGCGAATTACAAAACATTGAACGGGTTCCTTACATAACTACCAGACTCACCCCCACTTTCTGAATTACGTCTTGCTAACACCGGTGCAGGAAACTATGGATAACACTCTGTCATATCACCGTTTTCAAGTTCACGTCATAATGACCCACCGGATATTGCATCTGCGTAACCTCCGCACTCTTAGACCACTTCTCCCCATGCGCGAACCAAACAGCGCACACGGTTACAGGTATAAGCTTGTAGTATCAGATCGGACGCGATTTAGTTTCGAGCGTTGAGTGGTAACATTTCAAAACAGTGCCAGAAAATATGACCAGGGCAAGATCAGTGTTGTAATCTAAGAAATTTCCAAACCCTTAGTTACTGCTCTTAGATTTAGAGAGCGTTTCCCAGTTCTATTGGAAAATGTACATTTGCAAAATGTTGACAGTGCGCGGGAATCAGTAATCCTATTCTGCTTGAATACTCTATCAAATTTCCATGGAGTTACATGGATTTATATGTTCCTGCTCCATACTTCGAGTATCCAGTTTCCAGTAATCATGCTTATCCTAAATGTGGCAGTGTATATAACCACTGGTTTTACTGATCTTGAATTCCCTATCCGGGACGACGATAAGTGCCAACTCTAACCAACAACTTTCTTGTACTTATATGCCGTCGCATTAACCGACCACCTTGCTTTCTTACCCAACTAGACACATTATTAGTCATCAACGCACACCTTGGTTTTTTGCTGGCTGGCATGAGCCACCGAAAGCGAGTGTAGCTTCAACTCTCCGAGACAACAGCGAGACACTAAGAGCATCATTCTTACTCCTGTACCTCGTACTTACGCTTCTTTTCCACTTGGCGGCAAAGCCACGTGCGGGCCAGGGATACTGTGAGCAGCACATAGGCATTTTCAAGCCGACGTATGTGAGTTACACAGCTTGTAACTGTACCACTTGGTCCCCGACCGAGGCAGTTATCAAATAAGATGACGATCCGCAGTGCTTCTTCTTCCGTTCTGTCACTATACATTGGAATCACTGCGCAGACATCCTTGGTCGAAAGTAAACAGGCTCTACTCACTAGAATCTCGAATGCTTTATTCTATGAAATGTTCATCCCGCCCAGCGACCCCTCATTGTGATTCCCACCATTACCCAAACATGCTTTGTCCCAACCCAAACATTATATGCTTTGGCTATCAATCCAGTTTCTCTGCTCGGGAATCAACTCGATTCTATGTTCATTCGCAGTGAAAATTTCTCATTGCATTCAGTCGCCCACATGTTGACCTAGTTTCAACTTCTGAACAAGTTCACCGCTACATCGTTGTGTTATCGGTGCTTTGGGCTATTTCAAAGTCTCCCCTTGCTCCATTTGAACATTAATATATAGACCGCATTTGTAACGTTGACACGCCGGAGCGCGGCTCATTTCACCTCGCATTGTTAGCGGCCTCACAATGTTGATATCTTGACGTGGGTGGAGGCCATGTTTAGGAACCATTTCGTTCGAGCAGGCATCCCCCCCCCACTAATCTACAGAGCATTGTTTGATTTGTCTATTGCCTTAATTCATTGTCCAGTATAAGACGCGACGATACTAGTTTGTACATGCATGTGACTTAAAGCCATATTTATTGGCTATTTGGAGTGATTTAAACTTGTCGACATGTTTGTGGTTGCAACAGCTATACTGTTGTGGTATTGTACACTTGGTGTTTATACTTGTTTATAGATGGTACCTGTTAGAAGGACTCACACATGATAGTTGTTGACAGCTGGACAGTTTCGCCAATTATTGCCTTTGTTCTTTCACGTAGTCGGTTGACTGATTTATTACCTTTTTGTTGTAATCTGTACGCTCATACATGTCAGTTTTCAAGATAGCTCTTCCCCATACGGTGCGTTTTGATTCCGCTCTAAATGGGTTGCAGTTAGCAATAGCTTGGCTACCTGGTATCACCGAATTACGATTTACAAGTCATGATGGTTCCTTTGGAATTTCTTCAGGATATACTGTCCAGACAGTAAGCATAGTTCGAAGCGTAACAGCAACGTTTGTTTGAAACATTATCAACACTGATGGCGTTGATTGCGCCTATAGGCTCAACGGTTTCCACCGCAGACAAGTTGGCGCACAGTATTGTAGAATTCCATTACCAGCCGGATGATGACCTTACTGTCAGAGCATGGTTTCGCCGCTATGAGGATTTGTTGAAAATTGTTGTGGATGGGCTAGACAATGCAGCTCAGGTGCGTCTTCTTTTGGCGAAATTAGATCCACAAGAGGATGGAAAGTATTCTACATTTTACCCAAGTATCCGCGAGGTGTGTCATCGGAGGAAACTGTGAAGAACTTGACCAGGATTTACAGCCTTATAACATCCCTTTTCAACGCACTTTTCCGATGTTTTCAAGTTGTTAAGCATCAGTAGGATGATTTTATGACTTGTGCGACTTTGGTTAACAGCGAATATGAGCATTCGCAGCTTAACACGCTCGCAGGTGGTCAGTTTAAAGCGCTCATTTTTGTTTGTAGATGATGTTCTCCAAAAGTTGGAGAGGTCCGAACACGGTTGTTATCTAGATGGAGTCTAATCCAGAAGTTTCACCACAGGAGGTCATACAGGAATGTGCGCGTATGTTAGCGCTGAAGCATGGCGCAGAAATGATCCGACAGCAGATCTTATGTGGTTGATGTTCATACTATTCCTACACGCCCCATGTTGTCGCACAACTCAGTACATCTCCGGACTTGCACGCCGAAGCCGCCCGCCTATTGCTTGTTGGCGCTGTGGCCAGTAGCACTATGCCCGATTTTGTGATTTCAGATCACATATTTGCAAGCGTTGTGGGAAAATGGAACCAGATGGTTTTGGGGAATCTCTGAAAGGCAGTCACGAAACTTCGCCAAAACCTCACGTTTTCAAGGTTGCCTTTCAAATATGGCGTTTGCAACCACAAGACTGAACTGTCAGTCACTGCGAAACTGTGTTACGATTATGCTAAACGATGTTCCTGTTCGACTTCAATTGGACACTGCTTCCGATATTACAATAATCTCTGCGTTGACATGGAGCAAGCTCGGTAAACACACATGTGTTCAACCTCCACACGTCGCTCACAGCGCCTCTTTTACGGAATTACCTTTCTTTGACAGTTCATGTCTGAGTTCGCACTTTGTAACTTGCATACGTGTTTTTTGTAACGTTGCACCTTATAAGCGTTTGCACATGTTGGGCATTGATTGGATATACGAACTAAATTTTTGGAACGTACCTTTAAGCAATATTTGTGTCCCGCCGATTTTCAGTGTTCGGTTGCATCCGTAACTTTTACAGACAGTGCAGAAGCTTTATTACATTATGCGTCTAAGAACCCCACTACCTTTTTAACGGATCATGGAACGCATTCTAAGGTAAAAGCGAGGTTGTATCCGTGTACCGGTGTACCAGTTTTTCTCCAATGTGACCAGTACCATAGGCTGCTATCGACTAGAGTGCATGGGCGTTATCATTTATGTGACCTACTCATTGTGGGCCGATCCTATTGTAGTCATCAGAAGGGCTAATGGCAGTTTGTATATTTGTGCTCATTTTTTCACGGTATTAAATAACGCATTAGAAATGCAGCCATATCCCTTACCTATTCCAGGTGATTTATTCACATAGCTTAATGAAGGTTCGACATTTTCTTAACTTGATTTTTCTGATGCGTACCTGCAATTAATAGTCGAGGAGCATTCAAAAGAACTGCTCATTATCAATACACACCGAGGCCTGTACCGTTATAATCTGTTACCTTTCGGGGTCAAATGTGCTCCAGCGATATTTCAGCAAGTGGTACGCGCTATGCTGTCCGGATTACAATGTGCGATGGCTTACTTGGATGATGTAATCATCGTACGCTGCACAACTGATGATCATTACACTCACGTGAACGAAGTATTCTCCGGGATAGGTTCATATGGATTCCTTGTATGTCCAGGGAGGTGCGAGCTCATAATGCCCACTATCACATATCTTGGCTCAGTTTTTGACAGTTCCGGACATCGGCCAGACCCGAACATAATGAAAGCCATCAATTTAATGCCACCCCTCACGAACAAAGCTTCTTTGCAGTGTTTCTTGAGTCTAGTTAACTATTATCGCAATGCCCAACTTCTAGCCCCACTAAATGTACTTTTGGTGCACGAGTCAGTGTAGCATTGA